GCAAAGGCTGGCTCAGGTCTTTTGGCTCATGAAGTTCAAAGGGACGGTAGTGAGCCGAGTAGTGCGGATTCGATGAGCCTCATAGATTAAATGGCACATCCACCAGTTATGAACATACGGGTGTTCACCATCGAATGTTACATCCTCGGTACCATAAATCGGAGGGTGCCGTCGCGATCTCACATTTACCGATATACCATGAATTCATGACCTGATTGGACAAAAACAATCATGAATTCATGAACGAAACCACCCCGTAAACCGGTATTGTACCGACAAAAAAGGCAACCACCTTATCAGAAGCAACGATGTACACTTCTACACTGAGATATATAGATTGATCTAGAGTTGCTATCGTGGCTTCTAATGAAAAGAAAGATGGACATAATAGCTGGACGCAAGCCGAACACAATGCCTCTCGCAACAATGAGCTCGTCATCTAAGTGTATCGAAACATAGCAATACCCCCCTGTTTCGATAGAGGATACAAGATAATTCACACATGGACACTTCGATAATGTCGATTCCGCTAATGTGTCGTACTCATACAATATTTAGCGATGACACTATAAACTGATGAGCCCGCTAACGTGTCGTCTGCTGATAATTCCTGAGTACGACATCTTAAAAAATGACGAGTCCATCTTAAGCATAGTCTATTAAGAATAAACAAAACATAATTTTAGTCACACAACTACGAAAATGTGCAGCTTCATTAAAAGCAACGTGGAGCAGTGAAAACTTGCTCGCAACAAAGAATGTTGCAACCACCCGATTATTATTGATCGAGAGGAAATTATTGTCGTAGAGACTTATATAATAGAAGAAATGCCGCCTCAACCGAATACCCCAGCTATTGCTGAGGTTGTTCATACACCAACCCCATCGGTGATCAAGCCCGTCAAGGTCTCGAATATCTGTATAAGCAAAGATCCAGAATTGGATGAGTCGATTCTCGCACCGGTGATCGCGGTTAGCGTGGTATATAAAGAGGATCAAAGTTCGGAATCAGAATTAACCCCTCCGTTACCAGAAAGTCCGAGTTGGAACCGCCTAATATAAATCGTAGCGTACGACTTCGTTTTTACAGTACTAATTGTATGTGCGTGTCTTGTCCACGTCAATATCTCCTCGATTCCCGCTACTAGCTCCCAGAGGTTTAAAATCTAAGTCGTAAGCGTTACGACATTGTGAGCAAAATATAATTCGGAAAGCCAAAACTTACGACTTTCAGACTGCAACGCACATTTTTTTGTTAGCAACAGATCCTTCCTTGCCAATCCATAAAAATGTACGAATATCAAGTAAACGCAGTGCTACCTAATCCATTTATACGACTGCTGACTGTAGAACATCCTGGTCTACAAGCTCTTCCGCCTCATTATTAGCGTCGCCATCTTGACAAATCAGCTCTCGTCGCGTGGGCTTACGTGCATCCACCTTGCCTGAGCGCCGCAAGACGACGCGGTTCCCGAGGGATGCTGGGATGGAAACCTCACTCTCGAAGTCTTCATGCCAAATTTGGTAGCATGTCTTTCGTGCACCCCTGTAATTATGCCGCGACTTGGGGCACAGGGAGCACTTCGCACCAGGCTGTGAGCAGTCTTTACAGTAGTAAGTGGTCTGAAATGGTTTCTTTCGCTCGCCGCGGAGAAGAGCGCAAACTTTACAGGAACGTTGACGGCATTTCTGGACGGCTGATACGATTACCCAGTCGTCAACTGCACATGCACGTGACCAATTAGTCGGCGGCGCTTTCTGGCGCGCGCCACAGGAGAAGGAGTAGGGGTAGAGGCGTCGACATGGTCGTCTGCCGTGAGCTGCAGTAGTTGTTTGTGCCGGAGGATATGCCAGTCGCCACGGTCTTTAGGTACGAGTCGCTTGAGCCGATACGTCTCCTTCTGTGTGAGGTATGCATTCACCAGTGCCATGTCTATCAAGCCCATGAGCAGTGATTTGTAGTAATTCTGGAATCGGAACGCTGTCTGAATCGAATACGACTGGATGCGGAATTGATCATGGACATCAACGCCGGCTCATCCGGCGTTGATTTTTCGGTAACGAGCTTCGGGCACTTAAATGTTGACGGTCCTACCATTTTGATGTTTTAATGGATTGAGTCTTCTACCATGGTAGGACCTAGTGTACTGATTTCCTGTCCCACCAATGGCAGGCAATCATGGTCAGAATAGCATCTAACCGCGAGAACGCGAAGGATCCCCGTTCTATCGCAAGCGGTCTTGTTTTGAGTTTCGAAGTGACTTGCTTATCAAGCGCCTAGCCGGTTAATCATGATCGTCCCTAGCCCGTAGACCGACATCGATAGAAGCTGTATGGCCCGCGGTGTCGAGGAATAGAAACGGTCGATTACAACCAGTCGAAATCCCAGAGATGCCCCACTCAGAACAGCCTTCATGTTTCGTATCACTGCTGCTGCCCCCGTCTTGTTTTTGACCTTTTGTTGGTCCCTATCTTCTGTATCTCGCTTCCCGACGTACATCTCAAAGCTGTAGTCGCAAGTCACGACATGGAACAAATCGAATAAGAAATTAATGTTAAACGTTACGACTTATTATTTTTCATTAAAAAAACTCACCGATGACAGTACGCACCCTTGGAATCGCACACCATGAACAATTTGGTTCCGTAGCGGTGGGGATTGTCGGGCATGAACATCCGTGTTGTGTTATGCTACAATGTCGACGGTAGAGCGCCTTCATCAACGGAGAACGTGCTACCAAGTGTCCAGCCCGAGCGATAACGAGACTGCAACACGTCCACAACCGGCCTCAACTTCCACCTCTTATCGCGAACGCGCGGGGCCTCATTGTTCACGATGTGAAAGTCGCGAAGGATCGAAGTGCACCGGTTGTGATCCATGAACTTGCCAACGTTACCGGCTGATAGTGCGCCATTATCGGTTATCGCCCAATGTCGTGAGAAACGCCGCGTCATCGGGTTCAGCATTAGTGCCACTAAAAGTTCCATCGCATGTAAGATCGCATGCGTTTGGTACGCAAGGTCGGCACGAAGATGCCTTTCAATCTGCTTGATAGTCTCTATCGTCGCAGCATAACGCTTCCGTTGTTTTGTTCGAATTCGCTTTGCGCTGGCGTGTGCAGTTTGTCGCTTGTAGCGGTTGGTCTCCTTCGTAATGCTAATCCACAGCGACTTTGGCAGATAATAGAAAAATAGGAGCATCGGCGAGTCCGCATAGCTTGGATCTCTGGCCTAGGGGTAGCAACATCAGTAGACAGATCTGCATATGCTGCACAATCACGTTCAAACTCGGACGAGGGTGCACTCCACGATAATTTCCGAAGCGCGCTCTTGTCGATATCTTTAAGGGCAAGCTTTCCACGCACCAACTCCACAATGCCATCGTCCATTAGGGCGACATCTTCGTCAGGTTCCAGTGAGTCGTCGGGATATTTGCGCCGCTCAACGATCTCATATACACTAATAGCGCTGTTGTCGCTACCGATCGAATCGATATTCTCATAGGCGTCCGACACTTCTCCATCCGCCATGATGTTCACGTCGTCCTCCGCTACGTCAACGCAGTCATCCGGAGCGTCCTCCACACTCTCATAATCATCCACACTGGCACCGTCGCTCGCGTTACTATTATCCGAGTTGTTAGACTCGGCGCCCGACAAGAGGCGCTGAAAGGCACCGACGACCAGCTCGTGATCTGCCTGGTCCAGACGATTCAACTGGGAACCGCTTTCCGATCCGAACATCGTTTGTATTGTGTTGGCTGATGGCGCAATGGATGTGTCGATCTGCGACGCCGTCACCGACTCGCTCGCTGGCAAGCTCTCATCGACACTTGCCTCTCCCCCACTCACGCTACTCTCTTCTCCAATAAGCCCCGACTCGATCGCAAACGTCACCACTGCATTCTCGCCTACAAACAACAATTTATTTCGATACCTGTGTTGTGCTTCGTTCATGCGTTACGTACCGACAAGCGAGATCCCGGTCGGTGACGTATACGTCCACTCCTTCACGATTCCGGAGCCTGATGGCCTCTTCGCCACTCCACGGAGCTGTCGCCACAGATGCTTGAAGTCGACCGCTCGAACCATAAGCGTGTCTTGAACTACCGACTGCCTGATTCTCGTACTGGATCGTACTCTTGCCATTGTGGCAAATTATGGAATGAGACACCGCTGCTTCGAGTCGGCAGCCTCGACACTCATCCAAGTGTCCGGACTGACCAGATTACTGCAGCACATCTACCCCTTCCCCCACCCTTTCTTTGGCATTTCCTTTTTGACCTCTTCTAGCTTATATTTTTTGGCAGCAAAAAAAACTTGATTTAAGTATCGTATCCACTTTGTTCGAGCCATTTTCTATCTTGGGATCCCAGTAACGTCGTAACTTACGACTTGTGCCCTCCTTGAAGTCGTAAGTTGCGATGTTGGTAACGGAGGAATTCAATAACTCATATGATTACGCAGAAGAGATCTCAGAAGCGGAAAACGAGTTCTTCTTTGAGCAGTACATCGAAACGGGCAAAGTAAAGCAGTTCAACGTAAAGAAAAATCCTTAGACCGCATGGATGTTATTGGAGCGTTTAGCGAATACGTTGCCAGCAAGAACCCGGGTATTAAAGGACCGAAAATGATTAACAGCAATGCGTACTTTGGTTGATATCGCTATTGCTTTTACATTCAAAAAGGCAACAAACTGCTAGAACAACTATATTGTAAGAACGAACAGATGATGGTCAGCATCTGTGCGTCTGTCAATCCGGCAGCGTTAACCCCACCCTGCCGGGCGTTGCTCTTGTGCTAAAGCAAGTGCTGTTACCGCTGAGATGAAACCTCAGCGGTTGCTGCACTTTGTAGCATTAGTGACAACGGGCCCCCCCTGGTTCATATGTATTTATGGTTTATCTATCCCAATAGATACTAGCATTGTTTTTTATATTAACTTGAGATTTGTCGCTTCTTAAGCAATCTTGGAGTCCATGAAATTACACATGGAATTGAACAACTTTTCGGTATGGTCGTTTCTGTTTTTGCTCCATGATTGCTTTGTATGTTATATCAAATAAAATATTCCTCAAAGATGTCAATCTCAAGCGTCTTGTCGCTGCCAATAGATGTGAAAGCACCATGGAATATCCGCCCCCGACGGTCTTTAGGTCTGCTTAGCGGAGCTGTAGCGGGCTTTGCAGGAGGATTGGGTGCGTGATCGTATGAATGGTTTGGCTTAAATGATACATCGGAAGCATCGCTCGGTTTGCAATCTTGTTGTAGCTCGTGTTAGCAGCCATGGTGCTGTGCAGTAGTTTAGCGTGTAAATCGTTCATCTCGCGATTGACACGTTCAGCATAAGCTGGCGATTGGATCAAATGAGACTTAGCAATGTGCCGGATCATATTCATTGACATTGGATTTCCATTGTACTTTATGAAGAGCTTTGACAGAACTTGACTAAAGCTATTGCTTAAATTTGTATAATCAGACTCGCCTGGTTGCTGATTGAACATGCTCGGTAGTAGCTTACTTGGCTGCTCTCCAAGTGTATTAGCAAAGAAGTCGAGGTAGGACTTAATCAAGCTCATTGTGGTGCTATCCAGCTGAATCGTTCGTGATCCCATGAGACGAACATTCTTGAAATCCTTGAGATGTAAAACGTTTCCTTGGAGGTAATTTCCATCTTCTTCTGGACTGAGAAGAACGCTCGGTCATACCAAACGAAGCGGATAATGCACGTTCAACCACAACATGGTGTAATCAAACACAACCTTCAAGTAATCACTTATCTTTGCTCTCAATGCGGCAGCTTGATCAAATCGATCTGTCATTGTCTGTAGAATACACATATAAGCTCTACACATCAGACCAAGATCTACGTATGGTTTCTTGTATAGCATACCCGCCCAGCTCCAAGTATTATTGTTGTCATTAAACCATGACCACTTCATCAAACAACACAGGTCGTATAGGCGATGATCGTAGATCTTTTTTAAACACAGTATTGGGCAACATTCAGCTCTTCAATCATGATTGGTACATTGAAGTTTACAACGGACGACACTTCGGCTGGTGGTTGCAGAACGGACGACATTTCAGTAGTCATGCATGTTGCTAGTACATAAGATTAACAAGTTCACTTCTACTTTTTGTTTGAAGGTGACAAACAACAAAGAATTCTTTAGATGGGAGTCGTTCCAGCATGGAGAAGCCCGACGAAGCGATCGTGCCTAAGCTGAAGAGGCAGATACCGGCTGCCACGTATCCCCCGCTGCTCCCGTACACGGATCAAGACCTGATGCTGGCTCAAGAGACGATGACGCGTACTGTCGCGATCTAAGGCAGCGAGACCAGTCGCCAGGTCGAAGCTTTGGCTCAGCAATCCGCAGCTGCACAGCAGATGACGGCTGCCCAACTCGTCCACGTGTATCACCAGCAAGAGCAGCTGGCGGCAAAGACGTCGAAATAGCTGCAGGCACAACACAACCGTCGGTCTGCACTGCTAGACAGCAACAGGAAATGAAAAAAAAAAAACGGATGAGCACCGGCACTACCTGGAGGAGCAGTATCGACTGCTAAAGGCTGCTGAAGAGGCCAGGGGACTGCAGGGGTGAGCGGATTAATAGCCTTGCAGAGGCGGTGCAGTCGCACTTGCAAGCGCGATGGGGAGCTTTCGCTCAAGGTGCATCACCACCGAGCGACCCGCGAGCTCCAGAGCCACCCGCTGTCGCCGTGGCGCAGATACGAACTTGCCTGACCCGCCTATTTACTGAGGCAGAACAAAAACTGAGAAGAGTGGCTATATGGACAGCTACGCTTTTTACTCACGACGTCTTATGGCGTTAAATCAAGGTACTCAAGCAAAGATTTTGTCATGCCGTTAAATACATGCATTGAACAGGGCACGATGGTGAGGATCTGCGGCTTTGAGCAGTTTAACCTTCATCTCCCATAGAGCCCACGCGTGGGCTTCTGCGCCCGCGGGTGGGCTTACTTCTACAAATGGACCATTGTCCTCAGCAAAGTTTCCAAAGTCAGTTGAGAAGTTAATAATAAAACAACAACGACGAGGAGCTCAGCGCATTTTTTTCGACGTCATACGAAGCTTTCATCATGCCGAAACACGCTGTGGGAGATCGAGTACGCGAAAAGACCAAATCGGCCGATCGTTTGCGAGGTGTGGTCCTATCGATAGACAGCAGCAAGCGACAGTCTTGGTACGATGTCCAATGGGATGCCGGCAGAGTTGAAATGGTCGCAGCCCGCTCAATTCAGGCCTTGCGACCCTGCAACGCTCCAACACAGCCACACCAGGCACTTGAAGGACCTATAACGTCACTTTTACTGGGCAGCGTGGGGGAAAAAGAAGATAGTAGCCCATCTTCTTCTGATTTTGAAGAATCGGAAGAAAAAAAATAAAGACTGCACCGATTTCAATTATACTTCGGCAGCCTCCGAAGTAGCAGCGCCTGGAATATCGGATGATGGAAAAGCACTCGCATATAACCGGAGTTGGGAATTCTGCTCAAACGTTTTAATAGATTCGGCCGTATTACTACGCAAGCGAACGACTTCCGTTGACCATCAGCCCTTCAATTAGGTGAAAAACATTTATCAAATACTTCTATTTAATGCATCCGTGGTCGGCAATTCAGAGTACGATCAAGCACACAAACGCTAAGCTGGCGGCCCGTCGTCAACGTACAATACCAGAAGGGGACTTGTTTCGGTTTCTTGGAGTCCGACTCGCTATGGCAGTAGAACCTAGACGAGCTGCCCTACGAACCTACTGGGAAAAAGACATTCCTGAGGGTTTTGTTGGAGCCTCTCCCAATTTTGGGGAACGTTTTGGTGTATCACGTCACACATTTGAACACATTTCGGGTGCATTGTCGTTTGCAGATGACGTGATGTCGGATGACCCATGGAAGCCAATGCGTGCTCAAGCTAACAGCTTTAATGATCGCCGACGTGGAGTAGTTTCGCCAGGTGAGATCATGTGCATTGACGAATGTATGAGGGCATGGCAAGGTAGAGAAGCAAAGCACTGTCATGATGGTATCCTCCATAAGACGAAGATACCGAGAAAGCCGGAGGGTATTGGTGCTGGGTTGAAGGCTATAGCTGACGGTGACTCAGGAGCTCTATTGGGTCTAGAACTCGTTGAAGGAGTGGAGCGACAGAAGTAGAAACTATATCAAGCTCTTCCGGTGAGGGAACGGCTATCGTGCTTTGATTGTCGGAGCCTTACAAAGGGACAGGGCGCAATATTGGTGCAGATAGTGCCTTCTCTTCTGTCAAAACGTTAGTCCAGCTTGAGGCACTTTGCGGTTTATATTTTATGGGAATGGTTTAGACAGCCTCGCGAGATATCCAAAACAGTACATGAAAGACTGGTTTTCGATTGGGCCTTCTCGCGGCTCATTCAAAATGCTACAAAGCAAAACTTCAAAAGGCCAGCCAATGTATGCACTTTGTTGGGCCGACCGCAAGCCAAAATGCATTATTTCCAATCGTGGTACGTCTCTTCCTGGTACAGACAGCGTTCGGCGACGTCATAAACTTCTATATGACGGTGGTTAAGCTAAACACTGCAGTACGAGCGTAGAATAGAACGACCTCAAATGGGCGAGCTGCTCTTTTCAAAAATTTCCGCTATTGACGTACACAACCATCTACGACAAGGATGCCTCGAGATGGAGCGACCATGGCTCATCAAACAGTGGCATCATCGTATATTTGCCACCCCTTTTGAAATGTAGTCGACGCCTATCGTGCTTACCAATGCGAATCGACTGCTGCAGGCTGCTTGGACTCAACCATCGCAAATTTCAATTCGTTCATCTCGCAGTTGGCCCACCAACTAATTTTCAGCAGCTTCATAATGCAGTGATCAACGCGTCCTGGTAGTAGTACCGATTCTTCTGGAGTACAAACCTTTCTGACGCGCACATTGCGAACATTTAGCTCTTTAGCTCAATACCAGCGTCTTAGTGGAGCAGCTTTGCAGGCTCAACGAAAGTGTGGAGTCTGTGGAAAGAAGGCATCATTTTACTGCGTTGGCTGCTCAGACCCACTCATAAACCAGTTCTTCGGCGTGTGTAGGCTAAAGACAAACCGAAACTGTCATTGCGCATTCTCCTTACGTATAAATCCATCCCATACATTTTTTTATAATTGACTAATGCTTCAAATCCAAGCCTCGTACCGTCAGTCAGTATACTAAATACAGGTAAAGGTAGGAAAATGGGGGCCTAAAAGGGTATATATACCATTACTTGCTCTTCTGCTGCTTCTTTTGCTCGATGTACTTGGCGTTTCGGGCGGTCAGCTTGCGAGGGCGGCTGCGCCTCTTTTTCTTTTTGGGGTACCAGTCAGGGCCCATCGCCTTCTTGACGTTCGCCAGGCTTTCCTGGCGGCGCACTTCGGCCGAATCAGGTGGTGGGGGCTTTTCCTCCCAGAACTCAACCGCTTTTGGGCCGTTCTCGCGGGCAATACAGCGCCGCACGATGTCCCGCCCCCTGATTGTACGGAATGCGTAACCGTACTGCAGCCTCCCGCAGCAGACGTCCTCGACCGCCGCGGGTTCAGCAGAAGCAGGTCAATATTGATTTTGCACATGGGCATCGCCATGTTGCAAACTGTGAACAAGCTTATATAATTACTGACGTGCGTAAAAATATTAGGTATTCCAGCGGGTATTTACTGCTAGGTGAATTAGATTAAAAAAGAGTATTATTATATCATAAGCATTGTATTGTTTTAACCAATAAAACAAAAATAATTTCCAATACACGGCCATTTAATGCTGAGACTCATTATCAAACAAAAATTGTTTTTTTTTAATTTTGGCAATCGCTTAAATAATGCTATTTTCATTTTTTTAAACCAAACATACGTTTTAGCAATAACAATGATTTTAAACACAACCACGTAGGTACCATTCACGCATGCAGTGCGGTGTCCGGGTGCAACTAACGCAAAGGTCATGGAGCCTTCTTAAAAAAAATATTATATATGATGATAAAAATACTCGAGTTTGAAAAGGTGCGTGGAAAATAACATCGCAGAGCTCTTACAAAATACTGGTCTGTGAAGTCTACATTTATAATAATAAATATCTCTATTTGAGAAGTGTGCAGAGCTCTTACAAAATAAAGTGGTTACTTTGCCCGATTTGCAGTACATACAACAGGTTTTGCGAAGCTAAATGTAAGAAATCAACCATCACAGCTCGCCTGGTTGTTTGCATCCAATCAATGTGTTTCGTTCACGGCAGAAATGTTTACCTTACGCTCAATCGCGAGGGCGAGAGGCGGTCGGATCGTGCGACAGATCCAGTCAGTGTCGAAGGTCGACAGGTATTGCCCAATCATAGCGCGAGTTAATTGTGTCCGCGTTTTGGCTATTTGTGTAGTTTTGGCGTATCTAGGTCGAGTCAGAAAGATAGGCGCAAGAAGGGCCAAAACGTATTAGACATACCAAGTGTAGCCATGCAAAAAGGCAGGAAAAGGCAGCAAGAGATGAAAGCGACGGACTGATTGACAGACGGACGGACGGACAGACTGGTTACCCGGTAAGGAAGCGGGAAAGATCGTCTGATTAACGCATTGTCCAGACCAATGGAGAGTACAAATCCACCGACAGCGTTGCCGGAAGCCCTACAGGGAGCGCCATCCGTGGCGGAAAACCAAGGATTCGACGTTTGTCCAGCTGGATCGCCGTTCTTGGAGCGACGATTGGAAGTGGAGCCAGCTGCACGAGTGGATGGACGCGAGCATCATACAACTTGTATTCGGCATTCGCAAAGTTTGGATCGAACGACACACATAGCTCATATTCGACTCCTGGCATCGCGGCCCATATCGCAATCGCCTTCTGGTCGAGCTCTCCAGGTGCCATGCCCCACTGCTGAGAAACTCCAATCTCAACCTTAATTGTCCGAAAGTCTGCAAATATGGGCAATGCGTTAATCAGACGTCCAGCAATCTCTTGCGCAGCAATTACCGAGTGATCTGGTTTTAATTTTTATTTAAAATAAAAATCATAGATTCTTGTGATGCCTGGAAAACCGGTTTTATACCGGATTTTATTGTGACATTACACAGCGACTCTAAGAGTGAAAGTTGCGTATTTGGTTTAAATACTCACAAATTGTTTTTTTTTTAAAACATACCAAGAGAAGGGCCGTCGTGTATGTCACATCTCTTGAATGTGTGGGTACGTGAGTATTATAAAATAGCCTTTTCTAGCCATTCCATATATTTTGCTTTTATGAAGGGGTCTGTTGTTTGTCGCCTTCAAACAGAATGTAGAAGTGAACTTATTTATATTATGTACTAGTAGTCATATGCATGACTACTGAAAGGTCGTCCGTTCTGCAACCACTAGCTGAAGTGTCGTCCGCTGTAAACTTCAAAGTGCTGCACTTGTACTAAAGCAAGTGCTGTTACCGCCGAGCTGAATCCTCAGCGGTTGCTGCACTTTTTAGCATTAGCGACAGCACTTCCCCCTTCGATGACGTAGTCGAAGTTCTTGAGCTCTACGCGATCTTGTAGTCGATTGTCTACTTGATCCGGAGCGCTTTACCCAGAGCTCCCACTTCGCTCTGCTTGTGGTTATTCCTGACAAAGGCTGGCACAGCCACTGGAACGTCTTGTAGCAGCATGTCTGCTGGATCTTAGAGAGTCCTCTTTATTACTCAGACCTCTCCGGCGCACATCAATTCCATGGCGCTTTGCCTCCGAGTTGTAGCGCGCATTAAGCACCTTGTCCACAACGTGCCCTTGACTGCTGTGAGCAGCGTGCTTCAACACGTCATCACTCACGTTCAGAGAACTATCTGCGTAAACCTTAAGACGGCTAGCATGAGCTTCACGTCCCTGCCCAGTGATGAGGTTCTCTATCACGAAAATCCAATTGGAGACCGTCCCTGTCACTTGTGCCGGTCTACACCAATTAACACGCAGTTGACTGCGTGTATGCTGCCAGACATCGGCGTACAGCACGTAGTCACCGGTGTCGAACTGTGCCACAGCTGTTCCTAACTTTTTGTTGTGACTCATACGAGCTCCAGCTCGTACCTCGCGGTTCACTTGGTTTGTACAACGATGCATTTCATCAAGTACTTTGCGCAGATTTTTCACGTGGTCTTGCTTCGATGCCTGTATACTTTCCCGTATAGCCATTTCAGTCGGTCCTGGAAACGCGAGGTGATCGGTTGGAGACATTGCCGGTAGTCCCGTCATCGTCGCAATAGGGGCCACGCCTCCTAGCGATGGCGACGGTACGTTGTTGAGCACCATCTGCACGATCTCCACCACTCGTGGCCATTCCTGTGGCTGCATTCTCCATTTGGATATAAGGGCACGGCAACAGCGGAGCGCTTCGCGCATCACCACTTCCACGGTGCCTTTTGACCACGGGCGTATTGCCGTTGTGAAGTGGTGGTGCGCACCTAATGCGTGTTGCAAGGCCTCAATGGTTTTGTTCTTGAAGTGTGTGCCCTGGTCGCTGACCCAGGTGCGACACACTCCGAACGAAGCAAACCACTTAAGCAAGCCGTTAAATGCTGTATCTGCGTCTGCTGTTGCACACGATAGCCGCCACACGTACTTGGACGCATCGTCCTTAATAACCAGGATGTAGGCTGACTCCCATGAACAAATAGTCCAAGTGGATGAGCTCGTTCGGGTGCTCTGCGTGCATTCCTTCGCCTAATACCCTAGGATGTGGTGGACCACCGCGTGTGCTCGCACACTGCAGACATCGTCGAGCAAAGAACTCAACATCTTTGCTCATGCCCGTCCAGAAAAACTCGGCCCTCATCTTTTCAGAAAGATAGGCGCAAGAAGGGCCAAAACGTATTAGACATACCAAGTGTAGCCATGCAAAAAGGCAGGAAAAGGCAGCAAGAGATGAAAGCGACGGACTGATTGACAGACGGACGGACGGACAGACTGGTTACCCGGTAAGGAAGCGGGAAAGATCGTCTGATTAACGCATTGTCCAGACCAATGGAGAGTACAAATCCACCGACAGCGTTGCCGGAAGCCCTACAGGGAGCGCCATCCGTGGCGGAAAACCAAGGATTCGACGTTTGTCCAGCTGGATCGCCGTTCTTGGAACGACGATTGGAAGTGGAGCCAGCTGCACGAGTGGATGGACGCAAGCATCATACAACTTGTATTCGGCATTCGCAAAGTTTGGATCGAACGACACACATAGCTCATATTCGACTCCTGGCATCGCGGCCCATATCGCAATCGCCTTCTGGTCGAGCTCTCCAGGTGCCATGCCCCACTGCTGAGAAACTCCAATCTCAACCTTAATCTTCCGAAAGTCTGCAAATATTGAAACGTTCGGAGGAAGCACCGAGTCGGGTGTTGCTTGGCGTGGTCCATAACTGAGATCTGGACACCATCGTCGCCCTTGAGAATTCTTGGCGGCCAAGTGATCTTTGAGCCATCGGTTGACATGCCGCTCACGAAATTCGTTTAGCTCTGCAGTGTAAATTTTCGTGTGGAGCGTCAGCAAACTCGATGATGTGAATCTCTTCCATGTCACGAAACCATTCAAGATAGTTGCGTCGAGCAATTGGATCCTCGCTGTCTGCAAACGCGTTCCACTCGTCTTCCGTTGCGTGGCACACACGCACTGTACCGGTCGGCAGTGGAGAATGTGCCACTGCAGCTTCCAGAGCAGCGTTAATGGGATCAATGCTGGAGAGGAGAGGAGTCATTGACGCCGGTGTGACTGCGCCTGTCGCAGCGACAGCTTCATTGGGCGCGCGGTTGCTCCGCGTAGCTGCTGCAGGTGACGAGTATAAGTCCCCGCCCCCAAATAAAGCAAGAATAAAGTTCGTCTTGTCCGTTCGTCGTCCGCTCAGCATCCGCCATCGCACCGCTTCTACCCTTGCAGCCTGTCCGTCCGTCTGTCAATAAGTCCGTCCGTTTCCTTTCTTGCTGCTTTTTCCTGCCTTTTCGCATGACTACACTTGGTCTGTCTAATACATTTTATTCCCTTCTTGCGCCTATCTTTCTGACTCGACCTAGATATGCCAAAACTACACAAATAGCCAAAACGTGGACACAATTAACTCGCGCCATGATTGGGCAATACCCGTCGACCTTCGACACTGACTGGATCTGTCGCACGATCCGACCGCCTCTCGCCCTCGCG